CAAGAAAGAAAAGTGTGTGTACAATGACATACTAAGATCCAAAAGAAACAGCAGGTGAAACTGCAAATTAATTTCATGTGCACTAACCAAGGAGAAAGCCATGGTAAATAACAGGAGGGAACATGGAGGAGCATGTACAGTGTCAAGGTCTGTGTGTGGCTGAAAACAGGGGTCTGGGCCAAGAAGAAAAGAAATGACAGTGAGAGGCTTCCTTGTATCGTTCACATCCAGGGAAAGCCTATGCTCACTGAAAATTTTAAAAGACAGCTAAGAATCAAGAGACTCAAGGAAGAAAAGAAATCAGAAAAGGGACTCATGCACCCTAGAACACTCAAGGCAGGGAGCCCCATGGAGGGCCAGAAGGGAGGTCGTGAGCTGCAGGAGCACCAAGGTCCTCCTGTCACCCAGGTTCCAAACCCAGGAGTCCTGTCTTCCCTACTACCTGCGGAGTGGACTCCTAAACACAGCCCTGCCTCCACGCTTACTGCCTGCGAGCTGCTCCTTATGCAGAAGCACACCCAATCTCAACATGCACAACATCAGCTAACGTCAGAGCTGCCTGCTGGGGCCCCCTGGCTTCCCATAACCCAGCCTCAGTTGGCCTCTCTGTGTCATTCACTCACTTTGCCTGAGCTTCCCACCCCCTCAAGTGCTGTTCCTGACACAGATCTTCGAGAGTCCTTTCCCTACTTTCCACCCCAAGTTATCTCTCCCCTCCCAAAGATGCTCTCTGTCAACAGCTTCGTTTCCTTTTCCCACAGCACTTACTGTTAATTGAAATGACCTTGCATATGCATTTGCCTATGTATTGCCTCTGTCACAACAGTGGAAGGTCCTCGCACACAGAAAATGCCTCTCTGATTACTTACATCACCCCTGCAGGTAGTTAGCACTTGATAAATAGTTCCTGAGTAAGTTAGAGAACAGCGGCAGATGAGGAGGAGGGGGATCATTATGGACTACCAGCTCATACTAATGAAAAATAAAAGCTGAGATCCAAAGCAAAGGCCAGGTAAATGTCCGAGCCTAAGGGCTGGAATCAGAAGAATCGCTTATAGATGCAGCTGCCCTGTCCAGCGGATACTGAGTGTGAACCGTGATCATCCTGAGTCACCCCATCTGCCGTCACCAACGCGCTGAATCAAAGGGAGACACGTGTGCTGCCCATTTGCTTCCTGATCCCGGAGGCAGGCAGCAGATGTCTGAATGATAAGAAGAGGGACAGAGGAAGCGGCTACCTCAGGAAGCCACAAGGAGATCCTAGGGCTGAGACACAACACCAGCCGCCTAAGATTTCAACGAAACCACCTCAGCTGACAGGGCCAGAGGAGCCCCCTAGAACCTCAGCCCTGACACCTGGGAGAAACATGGGAGAAGACAGAACTGCAAACACTTAAGGCTTCCTCAAATTCCATTTCACTTTTGGGAATCTGAGGACTTTCATAGTGTCTTTTATAATGGCAAGTGAAAGAACGAGGGGTGACTGCACAGCCATGACCATTGCAGTGCACACCTACAATCCCCACTACTTGGGAGGCTGAGGTAGGGGGAGCACAGGCTTGAGGGTCACGAAAAAAGAGAGTTATCGACAGTGCCAAACCAATGACCTAAGTGAGTCCTGTTACAAACGTCTTCATCTACAAGTGAGAATGCAGAGGTGGCATACTGGGAAGAACTTACAACATCCATTATATGATAGTCTCAAGAATGTAAATTTAATGATGAAATTATGGAAATTCTACTGGAGTAAAACCAAATGATTTAACTAGGAAGCATTATGTTGAAATGTGACTTTTGCTATTGTTCATTCGCAGGGAACAATAGAACCCTGAGATAAGGATTTAGAAAAAATAGTTAATGCCCATAAGAAAGGCATAATTTCCAACCCTTTCTAACACTGATTGCTTCTCATCCAAGCTCTCATTCATTCACAAGACATTCTCCTGGACTAGGAACAAAAGAAAAGAAATCCCTGTGATAAATCCCTCAGGGAATTTATAATTGACCAGCATAGAAGAAGCAAAGGCAGAAACTAGAAAATAAGGTGATCTCAACTAACACACAGGGGCTGAGCAGGCAGCCTTCAGAGGAACGTTCCAGAATGCTTTCCTGACTAAGACAACACCAAGACCGTGAAGGATGAATGCAACTGCATTAGCAGGCAGAGCAGGGCAGACAGGGTGACCTCCCTAAAAGGACAAGGAAGGAGGTGGGCCCAAGGGACAGTCACTGGGGCTTCAGGTGACTTGTGACACCTGGGCAGGAATGCCATCCCTCCTCCACTAGGCTGACTCGGGAATGGTGCCACTCCCCTGCCCTTACCTTCCAAGACCCAATTCTCTACATGTAGGATGCTCTGCATCATAAATTAATAAGAAAAGGAGTCCAGAGATTGAAAAACCAAATGCGTTCAGTGCACTCTGATCCAGCTGCTGCTCCAACTGTCTTTGGATTCTCTTGTCAATCTTTGTTCTGGAAGACTCAGCACAGCCTTGCACAGGGCAGGTGCTTGTGTTAACCTCTGTGGCAAAAAAGCTCCCAAGACCAAGATGCAAGAGGGTGGTGGTATATTTGTGTGTGCCTGAATGTATGGAAATTTCAAAAAAGCTGTCGGTCTAACAGCATGTGAGTAAGGAGAGGAGGAAAAGGAGAGGAAGACAACAATGATGACTGTTGATAAATCAATTCTACTAGTACTATAATCTCAGAATCAAGAGCTAGCCCTCTTGTAAAAATCCCAGAATGTCTCAGCACCTAAAAATGAACCTGTATTATACTTCCATCTTTAGAAATAATCCCAATGAAGCGTTCACTGCCCTGAATCAACCTTCCCAAGCCTCTCAAGAGGAAGGAGGGTAAGAGACACTGGCCCCCACGGTTGAGGAGCCAGTTGGGGAGATGGCTGGGACCCTGGTGGGATCAGAGGCCCTACACCCATGAAGGCTTGCCCTGCAGTCACATCTGGAGTGTACAAATGCTGCTAAGACAAGACCCTCTCCACAACTTCTCTTTTTGGTTTTGGTATAATGATATCTAATATAATTAGATTCTAAGTGCCTTAATGACACTTAATTAAGGCACTCCGATTTTTATTTTACTTAAGATTTTAACTTAGGTTTTTTATTCTAAATTATTCTCTGGTTCTACTTTATACTCTCATCTTTAGATTTTAGGAGAAAGAAGTATCTTGGGGCTGGGGAGATGGTAGTGGAATAAGTGCTTCCCTGGCAAGTTCAAGGGCCTGAGTTCAATCTCCGGTTCCACAAAAAAAAAAAAAAAAAAAAAAAAAGTATATTAAGTGAATCTAGCACCTGGGAAGTTACGTCATTTTAAAATCATTAACATGACATAATTGGCAAATAGTTAAAAGAGTATAGAATATAAAAATCAAACATTTAAAGAACCCAGAGGTTGCCAAATCACTCTCACACATATACACACAGTCATCATTAGTCCATTACGAAATATACATAAACACACATGCTTAGGGCCAGGGATAGAGCTCAGTGGCATAAGCACTTGCCTGGTAAGTGCAAAGTCCCAAGTTTGATCCCTGGTACAAAAAAAAAAAAAAAAAAGAAAGAAAAAAGGCTTTTTCTAAAACTTTCAATTATTATAAAGACAAAAAGACAGCTAGTCCAAGCCTTCATCAGTGATATAAAGTCCACTACTTTATATACAGCATAACAAGTTAGTGTAAGTTTCACCCCCGAATTCTTATTAAGGACGTATATCAAGTGAGTACACTGACCTTCTGATTTCTCCATATCAGTGTTTAAAGTTTTGTATAGGCTAACACATGGTCATATGTCACAGAGTTCTAATGTTCTTTATATGGATTCCTGCTTCTCTGTTGCTTAGGTATTTTATTTTCACCATTCTACATTGCTATACCCTCATAAAAACTCTTGTTCAAACTAATAAACATATGCCCACGGAATGTGAAGCCTACTCCAAGTAAATATCCAAGACTACACTGGCATACTACGGATGGGGAGCAAGAGATGTAGGTCATTTCCCTCATAAACAGTGCTGCTCTGAGACCACTTGGGACACCCAGGCCCGGCCACTGCAGACAAAAACTTAACCATCAAAAACATCCATGCTGAGGGTTTATTCTGTGTCGCTCTGGCTCATTGGCCTCCAACGCAGTTCCCCTCCACCCCACAACAGCAGCTGGATTATGTGGAGTGTTCCATTCCACTCTCAATACTTTTGATCTGCAGATTAAAAATCTATGATTCAGATAGACACTCTTGTCATCATGACCTAAAAGCAGTCAAACTAGCCCTAAACCGGGTCTGTTTTTGTACAAATGGGACAGGGAAAGGAAAAAAAAAATAGCTGGTATCTTAATGCACCAAATGTGAATGGTTAGCCTGCAATATAATGCTTATGTTAATTCTTAAGAAGAAAGGTCAAATAGCTTACTAGACTGTATAAAGAGCACCCCTGCGTGAGGAATGGGAGCTAAATGTGAATCAGAAGCGAGTTCTGTCGGCCTGATGAGTTGCTCACTGACCTCCTCTTATAATTAACTACTAATCAAGGCTTCCTGTTAGCCCCGGGCAATTTTTAAGTAAACTTAATGAAACTGTTATACATGTAAGAAATTTAAGCCCCAATCTAAACGACTAACACTAACTTGCTAATAGTGCGGGTGTGATGTTATTCCTGGCATCAGCTGGACACAACACAGAAACTTACAACACACATCTCCCAAAGAGCAGTTATTACCACCGTCCCTCCCATGAGCAGTTCTCTGGTGCTGCCGCTGAGAACAGCACTGGTAGAAATCTCCCCCCCGAAGTTTCAACCAAACCTTATTGAATATCCGAATCCTTTAACAGAAATGGAAGACATCTGTATCTTCCAGTTTCGATGCTTTCGTAACAAGCCATTGCATAGCTCCAGGAGTTCTGAATGAAGACATCTCGCCTGGCAGCCCCTCACCCCCAGCCTGCCAGCATCTGCCAGTGAGACCTAGGAGTCTGTCTTACCTGTAATCTGACTCTGTCCTTGTGGATTAAAAGGACTTGGTGCAGAGTTCAGGGAGGGCCGTGGGTTCTGAGGCGGGACACCTACTCTCATACTGGGATGAGGAATGCGCCCTAAATCACTGAGGCGGTCAGAGAACAAACTAGGTTTAGAGTCATCAAGCTTCTGTCTGTGCCCTGGAAACAGCAAATCATAAAATAAAAGCATATTAATTAGCTGAACAAATGACCATGCTAAATAGATACGTGAACATACATACTGGGTGGTTTATGCCAAGGAATTATCAATACTGGTATTTATAATCATGTGTCTACAGAATGCCTTGCTTTCCATTTTGCTTTTGAAGAATTATCTGGCACTAAGCCTTCCTAGCTCTGCTCTATAACCAGAGAGCTGAGGGTACCAGGGGGCCAACTAGAGTGAGAACTCAAGAGGAGCTCTATGGGTGCCTCCTCTAAACCTCTCTGTGGATAAAGGGGTTGCACACTGAGGGGGCCTATTGCCCTATTTCATGAGGGGGGAGGTCTTGTCTGAGAACTCAGTGTCCATACAGCTCAGACACTTACTCAGCAAACCGGGGCAGTAACTGGGGCACACACATTTTTCAAAGAGAAATTTTCACAGTGACCATCATGACTTTTTTCTTTCTTTCTTTTTGTAATGCAACATCTACCCCTTGCTGAGACACTATTCTAAAAATTAAAACTCAAGCCTAGAGAGCTGGGGAGATAGCTCAGTGGCATAAACACCTGCCTGGCAAGTGCAAGGTCCCGAGCTTGATCCCCAGTACCACATGCCATGCCAGCCCCAGAACTCCAGGTATGCCGTGCTGGCCCTGGAACTGGTGTGGTGGCACAAGCCTATAATCCCAGCACTAGGGAGGCTGAGACAGGAGGATCACTAGGAGTCTGAACTGCATAGTGAGACCCTGTAAAAAATTTTATTTTTAAATAAAAATTAAAAATTCAAGCCTAGAATCCTAAAGAGAAAAAAAGAAAAAAAATAGAAATATACATAAGGAAACTCAAATTCTGGTTTTTCTCTTTTTATTTCTTTTTTAGTATTATAATTTTCTTTTAAAAACTCAAATTCTTTAGTGCAATCTGTATGGGGTTTTCCTGCTTGTTTTGTTTTTGTGGTACCAGGAATCAAACTCGGGACCTTGCTCATGCCAGTCAGGCACTTACGCCGCTGAGCTATCTCCCCGGCCCTGGATGTTTTACGATATACTAAAGCTCAAAAGCATATAGTGAACTGTTCAGTCAATGGGTACTTTTTTAATTCTAAATCTATGTGGTTTAGTAAAAGAAATTGAAAACATCGGTAAACATGAATGGGACAATTATTTTTTGAAAAATAACTTTCTTCTGGCTTATTCATATCTAAAAACCAAGGAAATTCTGGATATTAAAAAACAAGGCAATTGAGGTATACTCAAGGTTAAGACTTCTTAAGAATCATCAAATCATTCTTAACAAAGGAGTGTAGTAGTTCTTGATACAAGTACAACAGAAAGAATCAGAATGTGGTGTGACACAGTGACACGCAGCTATAGCGTGGTGGCGTGGTAAGCAAGGGCAACGTCTACAACGTAAAGAGAAATACCATGCACAGCACTCCTCCCCATTCTGTACCCGTGAGGCCCTTCTGTACTGCCCCAACATTGTCTTTAAGGGAGTGAAGATGATTCAATGAAGAGCCTCTGAAATGATAAGTGGATTAGGAATCTAGTTGAAGAAAAACTAAGAAAATTAGGATGCTCACCCATAAAAGAAAAAAAAAAAATCTCAAAGGCGGAATTATGAAAAGCTCTGAGAATGAAAGTTCTTCATGAGTCTCGGAGATGTGAAAAGTAGGCCTCCACAGAAGGACAAGAAGAGTGTATCAGGAGAGGGTTAAATTGAATGTTACAATTCCTAACTATAAGCTGTCTTCCTAAGACAAATTCCTTATTTTATTTGCCCTAAAATGTATTTTCCTGTCTCCTTTTTCATTGCTCACCCAGCCCAAAAAAAACAGACAGGAAGCCAAGACCGGGTAATAAGAGTGGAGCTGTCTCCACAACCGAACATGTTCCAACGACGCCTGTTAACAAAAAGGCACCCACCACCCTAGCTTCTGCCAGAATGGGTTCTGGGCCTCTGCTGTAGCTGTAGGGCTAGGCCCTGCTGAAGAATGATCAAGAAAAACTAGGGAAATGCACTGTTGGTTAATCCATTGTTTTCCTCATCATCTATGATTTTTTTAATGCAAATTACAAACAGATTGGAGAACTCTAAAGGACTTTTAGAGCTGACTGAAAAACAGCTCTGAGACTCCAGTGAGAAATATGTGCACAGGTGAAATGACCAGTCCAAAGAGACTAAGTTTTCCATTCATCAGGTGGCCCATCAAGGCTGCCACTTAGCTTCCTCTCCCAGCTGTGCCAGAGAACTAAAAAAAAAAAAACAAACTCCTGATCACCCAGACTCAGTACCTCCAGGTACTCAGGAGCCTGAGGCAGGAGAGCAGTAAATTCAAGGTCATTCTGGGCAATTTAGCAAGACTCTCAAATTCAAGGTCATTCTGGGCAATTTAGCAAGATTCTTATTAAATAAATAAGTAAATAAATAAAGGACTGGGCACGTAGCTCAGCATTAAGAATCCTCTGGGTTAAATCCCCAATACCACCAAAATAACAAAACAGCAAAAATTCAGATCATACAGAGAGACATCTGAGAACTGCACTCAGTGAGAAGTTAAGGTTGATTTTCAACGTAAACAGAAATAATAGCAAGGATTCAATAACAAAGCTAATAATTCACTCATTGCTATAAACAAATGGTTGTAGCCTAACTCATGACATTTCTACCGGTACCTCTTGCTGGATGTGACTACTTTCACAATTAGAGAGTTACACAGTACTTGTCACAGGTCCATAGGATCTGGTCCGCAAACACACACACGCGGACACACAAGTCTTGGCGTGGTGTTGATACAGCTGTAAACATGAACAAGAAAGCTTATGGAATTGTCCCTGGAAGTTTTTTTTTTTTAATAGGCCATATTTTTGGAAGGGCAGATTCCCTGAAGGCCAGAGAGAAGGTCACACAATCCTGTACAGTTCCTTTATACACTGGGAATTTATGTGGGATAGGGGTCATAAGAACATTTAATAAGCCTTGCCTTTGCTTGCTACAGCCTTTTCATTAGGTTTTCACGGAGACCGGATGAGATATGAGCTCTGTGTGTGGGTGTATGAGTACATTTTTATTCGTAGGCCAGTGCTGGAGTAATAGGAGGGTGTAGGCAGGAGTAAAGGAATTGAACAGCACTTCTAAGTGTGAAAAATTTAAGAGCAGGTGAAATTTTTAAAGTCTCAATGATTTTTTAAAATTATCATCAATGAGAGCTACCAAGTATTTACAGAAGATCCAGCATAAATAATTCAGGGAACAATCATGCGGAAAGGAATACAGCTAAAAACATATATATTTTTCCATGTAGCTATCTGCCCTTCATAGCAACTACCACAACCACAACAAATTCCTAAAGTACAATGAAAAGTAAAAGCCAAACAGGTTTTTCATCTTTCAACCATGACAAATGCCTGCTATCACTAAACCACATCAGGGTACGTTTGAAAGGATATTTAAACCCTCAGCACCCAAGTCATCCCATCAGAAATGGAGAAAATTAGGAGAGACAAAGGCGATCCTGACTCCAATCCCAGACAGGCTACTCGGTCGTATGGTGATGAAGACCAACCCTCAGCCAAAGTGTCAAAGATCTGGAGCTCATCCTAGCAGAAGGTACAGGAGACTGGAAATGTCCTGCACTGCACTCAACACTCCTTCGGAAAAAGCTTGGTCCTAGCTCCTCTTTCTAGCCACACTTTCTTCCCAAGAGCAGAGGTCCTTTTGAACTGGCCGTAGAGAACATTCTTATGGGAAGCTTTGAAACCTAAAGATGTCCAGGCCCCCACATTAGAACAACTGGGTCAGAACTCCTGGAGGTGTTCTGACCCAGGGGAAAGGTTAGCTTTTAAAGCTCACCAAGTGGTCTATGGTGCAGCCAAGGTTGAGAATTATTGCCCGAGATGGTCTCAGTCCCATTATAAGTGCTACTTATGCACACCAACCACCTTCCCCCCATTTTTCTGTCCTGAGCTCCAGGTTTGTGTAAACTAACTACCTACTGGATAGTCCCTCTGGGACATCCCGAAAGTATTCCAAATGCAGTATATTCAAGGTAGAATTCTTAACTCCCTCTCCAAAATACTCTATTCTTCCTCAGCAATCTTTCACATCAATAAATGGACCTGGGCACATACTTGTTTTAAACCAAATGCATAAGTGTTTTCCTTTATTTCCTCTTCACTCTCCACATGCAATCCATTACCAAGACTTGTCATTCTCTATGTTGACAATATCTCAAATATCTCTCCATCCCTATTGGCATAACCTTCGTCCAAGACCCTATCATCTCCCACAGGCCATCTGACTTCGCCCCCTTTGTCATTTCTGGGACCTTCCCACATTCCTGAAATCCTTCATATTCTCTGGATGGCCCACTCCTTATTCCTGAGACCTGGGGTGAGCTCCCCCTGCAATGAGAGGCCTGGCCTGCCTACCACAAATAAAGCAGGTCCTCACCCTCTCGAGCACAGCCTGTTTCCTCCATGGCAATTGCTACAACCTGTAACTATCTTGTGTATTTATCTGTCTGTTCTGCAAGACTGTAAGTCCCATGAGAGTGTGTGCTGTCTCTTATGCACAGATACATTCTCACAAGCTTGCTGCCTGCTGCAAAGCAGGCGCTCAGTAAGGATTTCTGCAATAAATGAATGAATGGTCTCATCTTTTGGATAAATGCCTTGGCGGGGAGAGTATCATACTATAATGCTACCCTGCCCCACACCCCAGTGTGCTCTCTCTTTCTTATTTGGTGATCCAGCAAAGCCAGGGGGTAAAACCTGAGATCCAGGCCTTTCCTGGTCCTTCCTAGGAAACTGTACTAAAGAGTGCTCATCTAAATGAAACATGCTGCTTTCTGAAAAACTCCATCTTCTCACTATAATGTTTTGTTTTCAAGAAAAAAAATAAATAAAACAGAATTTCAAAACAGGTTAGTAGGAGAGTTACAATAATTAATATGTTGTATATTGTTGTATTCCTAGTAGTTATTCAGAGTACAA